GTGGTCGTGGTAGTGGTCGTGGTGGTCGTGGTAGTCGTGGTAGTCGTGGTAGTAGTGGTAGTAGTGGTAGTAGTGGTAGTAGTGGTACTAGTGGTAGTAGTACTGGTAGTAGTACTAGTGTTTGTGCTAGTACTAGTGCTAGTGCTAGTGCTAGTACTGTCTGAGTTCCTTGGCGACCTGCTCGGCCACGACATGTCAGAGAGCCGTCGTGAGTGAGTGCTAGTACTAGTAATATTACAAGTAGCAGGATCTGCGAAATCGTGTCGACCCTTGCATCCCAGGTTCGTAGTGGTGAAGGGCCAGGACAACAAAGGTATTGGACAAATCTGCGCCATGTGGCATCTGGACGACTCCTCAAGGTCCACAGTCTATGTTCGTCATTGCGACAGGTGGGGAATGGCAGCATTAGAAGTTCCCTGCAAATCCTAAACTCTAACGTGGTGCAGGTATCTGCCATTTGCAAGCCAGCGCTCTTGTGTGAACGCAGTCTTCCACCTTGAGCGGAAAGGCGTCAACCCCGGCTTTGATGTTTCAGGCTGTGATTTGTCCAGAGTACCGCGCAGAATCACGAACTGCTGTCGCCTAGCGAGGTGAATACTACTTTCATGGAAAGCTGCTCATGGTCTTTCTGGTGAACATCCTCAGCCTGTGCGTCTTCGCAATTTCATTGGAGGATGTTAGTGGGCGATTGCGGCATCTGAGCAGGTGTTTTCTTGCTGTCCTGGCATACCGCTACGTCATCGATGGAACATTGCCCCGGAAAGAATACCTCACAGGTGCTGACGCATACATTGTATTTGCTTGCAGCTTCCAAGTCCTCCTTGTCATTGAGACGGTTCTCTTTCACAAGTTTCTCACCATCTTTCTGAAAGACCCTGTCTTGGTTGACAGGTATGTTGGGCTGTCTCTTCTGCTGGCATGGTGCAGTGTCAACTGTCTGTTGCGTTGGCTGTGGCAGCACGACACCGGCAGGAGCAACCGGGAAATCTGGGAAGCGATCTACCAGAAAGGTCGCGAACCATACGCGCCGATCAATCGGTGTTCAGACTGTGGGGAGATGTGGCTAAGCAAGCAATGCGAGCACTCGAGCAAGAAGAAGCAGTGCATCAATTGGCCGGATTGCTTTGGTGAAAACACTGGGGACACTGGGGCAACAGAAAGCATCGCGACTATCTACAACACTCCTTTCCAGTCAATTCCAGCTATCGTGGAGCCGCAAGTCTTCCCGAGACCACCACCTCACTTGAAAGAGCTTGCAGAAACCCGGAAATGAGCTTGAAGTGCCCGGAAGTCGTGGGAAATATGGCCTGATTGGGCCATGCGGCAAAGGCGGCGGACTGATTGCTCGCATCTTGCAGGGATTAAAATGGGGATTCATTGTGGCAGCGCCCAGCAAGCCAACCTCTATCACTCCCGTGGTCGTGCCATGTGTCTCAGGCACTTGTTTCCTGACGTCAGGCAGCTGATTGTGCGACACCTCCACAAACAGTATTTTCACAGACATGTTTTCACTCCAGCCGTGGTGGTTTCTTGTTCCACAATGCTTTGAACACCATTGCGGCAAGCCGGTACAACAACTTTGCCTTTCACACGTTTCCAGCGGTATAGCTTTCTGGGGCCTGGGTATATTCAGGGTGTCACAGGGATTGACAGGTTTTTCTGAGGGTTACAGGATCACGGGACGGAGCAAGTAGGGTTACAAGTAGGTAGCCACAGTTGTGTTAGCCCTGCAGTACTGTTTAGGATCCAAGAGTTCTGGTATCTGGCATCGGCTTTGGGGTTTAGATTGTTACTGAAAGCTGGGCGTTCGACTCTGCTGATAAAGCTTCATCTCGTTCTTGATGGTTTTCGTGGAGGAAGAAGGCCTTTGTCGGTGATCTATGTGGCTGGCTGCCTCACTAAACTATTCAGCGGGTCCGCCTTGTTGGATCTTCGGATGTCCCGGCGGTCGTCCTCCAAGCTACAGTGAAGCAGGGTAGTTTTGGCGTTGCACGGTCATAGGTCTTCAGTGAATCTGTGCAAAGCAACGCTGTGACGGTTTGACCTACCCAAAATCCAAAAACCCTACACACTGAACGCCGGACCTGGGGCAGGCCATGTTCGTGGATTCGGGGCAGGAAGACGGGGTCCAGGCACGAGCTCGTACAAGGATCAGTTGGTGCTACATTCATTGTGGCCTCGCTGCGAGCTGACATGGGAATAAGGACAGTGTTGGCTGATCTCCAGTTGTTGCCTGTCCTCATTGAACTGCCCCTGTGTGGACCGATAGCTTTTGCTGGCCAGCATGTCTTTCCTCGTCGCCTCAGCCGGTGTTGCCTCGAAGCCCATTTTTCAGCAGCGCAGGCTGCCCAGATGCAGAGTTTTGATGGCCCTGTTAGATCATACTCGTGGGCCGGCCATGTGGGCAGTTATCAAACCATGATGGCTACTGCTATCTCATCGCATGATATAAACAGGTTATCACGAACGTACGTGCACACATCTGTCAGTCTGCACTTGTCTTCTGACTACGGAAGTCCATATTTAGGACACCGAAAACCTGTACGGAGAAGTCAAGACATCGTCGCCATGCCGGGGTCGCAAGAGAAGGCTGAAGAGAACGGCCACACCCTGATGAAGAAGGTAGAAGAAGACGAGGTCATCGAAGATGAGTTCAATATTCACTCAACTGTCGGCTTGGTCTCTGCGCTGCTTCTGTCCTGCCTCGCCTCGACGGTGAGCGATTCCAAAGACCTCAAAGACTTCGCAGAGGAGCGTGACCGCAGATGGGAGCTGCAAGACGAGGGAGTTTCCATCTTCGACGTCTACCAGGCCTTGATTTTCGTCTGCATGTCCTGCAACTCGGTGTTAACAACCGTCAACTTCGCAACTGCATCCGTCACATCCGACCACGCTAGCCTGTGTATGTTTGTTAAACATCGGATCCGAGGCAATGTGCTTGCCATCATGACAGCGATTGCGCGCCTTATCGCTTTTCAGCGAGTTGCAAAGTCTGATGCCCCGGAGTTTCAGAGGATAATGGGAGAGGGAAGGGTGGGATGGTGCACGGGTGCTCTGCCAGTTGTGGCAATGGCAGCTGGTGTTATCTCTTATATTCTGGTCATGCTGGTTCAAGGGTACTTAGTGATGCACATGAAGACCTTTTGGTTCTGTGTGGCGACCATAACTGTCTGCATCATTTTCTGGACAAGCCACGAAGTCTGGATCATACGGGCGAAACGAGCTGTGAATCACCCTGAACTCCTCAAGCTTACTTATACTTGTGAGTGTGAGGATGCGCCTCAGGATAGCGAGTATGAAGAGCTCGATCATTGATTAGGTTCTGCAGCCAGTGTGTGAACGATCAGTTTTGAAGGAGTACCCGTACTGTCGAAGACACTGCGGGCTAGTATGGTCAGTTGCTGACCGCGCTTGGTTCTCATTAATTCTCCCTTCCGTTTTCCAAGCTGAGGATCCAGAGGAGTGGTAGATAGGTTGCCACAGAAAGCAAATTGTCCCGCGAAAAGGGCGTGTTCCTCGTCCAGAACCCTTAAGCTCAAAAGCCCAAAGTCTGAACCCGAAGCCCTAACAGCGCTACGTCGCAGTCGACCCCCGAATGCCAAGCCTTGGCACCACGATGTAGTGTTTTCGGGCAAGAAGTAGAGGGCATGTTTTTCTGTTATGACGTTGATTTTCTAGCCCAAGCCCTTGCCCCAATCTGCACTCTGCTTTTCTGGTGCATAATTTGCTTCTGGGTTGCTTTCTAGCAGGGGAAGGTTAGGGCAGGTGTTAGCAACAAATCCTTCGGGACGGGCCTTGAGATTGAAGCGACTCTCAAGCAGAGCACAACCTTGCTAAGTTCTCTCACAACGGCCACAAGTCCCTTAGGGCTTCTGACCTGTTGTCTCGGAGCTCTGAATGCGTGCAGCGAGAGGTCGCATTAAGTGGACGAATTCTCCGTGCTTTGTCTCAAGCTTTTGCGACAGGGGAGAAAGGGGCTTTCAAGGCTTGCAAGGAACATGGTGGGGCGATCCATCACGCTGAAGCCGTCCAAAACTGCAAGCAACCTCGAGCTGGAGATCCCATCTTACTATGGCATCTGTCTTGCAACTCATTAAATCAACCTCAGTGGTGGCAGTGGCAAGAGTCGAACAAAAATCATGTCTCACGCAGTCGCAACTGCCTGAACCCTGACAACTCAGGTATCCGCAGTGGATGGATGGCCGTGGGTGTTGTCTTCATTTCTGGTTTCTCCCTGATGGGTTTCACAGGCCCATTCCTTTGTTGGGTTTCTAAGAAGCCTCAACCCCCAAACGCAGAACTCCGAATGCCGCATGCCCAATCCCCAAATCCTCGGCCCTTAGTCGTCACGATTGTCGCAGTCGTCGTTACCAGAGACGAAACTCCAGCCATACGATCAGCAGTGCATCCCGATGGGTGGTGCAGCTAGTGGGGTGGTGGTACTTTCTAGTATTCCTTGCACCATGACGCCCAGAGAGACAGGCAAGATCATCTATGACAACGCTCCGCCCATTCCGACCTTTCGGCTGGAGGGCGATCACGGGGCGGTTCTGTGGACAAGCGAGGACTTTCCTAGGAACTTAGGGCTTTCTGGCGTTGTGGGCTCTTCGGGCTGCAGCCTTTTGCGGCTAAGCACCTTGAACTTTAGAGCCCTTGGGAGCTTTTAGGTGGTGTTCTGAGTCCCCTGGCCGAGCAAGGACGTGCTGGAGGGACAGCAGATGCTTGCCTTCTCGACAGTACAGCGTTGCTTCGTTTTGGTTAGCGGTTAGCACTCATTGTAAGCTGCGCTGCTTAACGTCGGTCTATCCTCTCCCCTCAAACCCTAAAACCTAAACCCTAAACCGTCACTTTCCGCTCTTGCTGTGATCTGTACGACTCGCGCTTTCTTCGTTCGCAGATCCTCAGATTCGAAGCTCGAAGCCTTCAGCCAAAGCCCCAGACCACCAATCAACCCAAAAAGCCCCAAGGCCTTGTTATTGTTATTATTATTGTTATATATAATATATATATATATATAGAATACTTCTCATTTTTTTTCCACTTCGCATGTCGGTGAGGATCTGGCAGTCCATCGGAGGGCAGCAGATGGGCTCCGTCTGGGGCCATGGGGCCTTGCAGGCCCCCGGCTACGCCTTGCTTGGAGCGAGCAAAGCTCAAGCCGTGTCTTGTGTTTCAGCGTCTAGGGGTCTAGGGGTCTAGGGTGAGTGGGGATAAACCTTGGACTTGCATCCTAAAGCCTGAAGGATTACAGCTTTGGGTTCCTGCTTTCAGGCTCCAGATTGGTCAGCGGACTGGCTACATCGGGAGGCAGGGAAGACGATGGCTGTTGAGGATTTTGTTTGGTTGCGGTTCCTTCCAGGGTTTAAGGGCCTATAAGCTGCTGTAAGTTTCGCGCTGGCTTCTTCTTGGCAACCCCAAGAAAAAACCTTCCACGCTTTTCTCCGGAAGATTTGCAACGCCGAAAAGCGGGGGGTTTTCGACAGAAGGCAGCGATGACCCTGGAGCTGATGGGATCGGACAAAGCGAGCTACATCCAGCGGGCCGACAGAGTTCAGACCCCTAGGGTTTTCTGCTTCAGCTTCTTGGAGTCTCGGGTTTTAGACTTTATGCAGTCTTCAGTGTGGTCACACGGAGGCAAACACCAGGATGTGGCAGCGTCAGTTACCAATTTAACGATCAGACGCACGTCATAATCTGACAACCTATGTCACTGAATCTGGCTAGCTATCTAGCTGTACTGGAGATCCATGCAGTTAACAGCTGTTCTAACAACCTGCACGCACACACATGCACACACACAACAGTATTCAACAGCATGTGCGCTCTCACGTAAATACGTAGTATCGCATGTTCGTCCGCCCCGTAGTTACATGTGTATCCTCGTATGTATGCACATATGTGCGCATGCACGCATGCATGCATGTATGTCAAAACATGCACTATGTACGTCTGCCTGTCTGCCTGCCTGCCTGGCTGGCTGGCTGGCTGGCTGGCTGTCTGTCTAGCTGCATGCTTGCATACCAGCGCACCTGCCTACGTTTGCAGGTGTGTGGGCGCTCCCAAGTTTGTGTGTGTGTGTGCGCGTGCGTGTGTGCGTGTGCATGTGGTGCATGTTCGCTGTAAGCATGCAAAAAATTGTGGAAAGATCCGTGCATCTAGCAGGAAAGTGCGAATGATTAGCTCTTATAAGATACCCCCCCTCCACAACAAGAAACGAAAACACCGCACAGGCTCCTACGCGAGACCCTAGACCCCGAAGCAGAGGAACCCTAA